AACTATATCCTGGTCCCAGTGGAAAATAGGGATCCACAAATTTGCCCTACCCCATCTCAATGGGCCAGGATTAGGGTAGAGTGGACAAATACCATCCTTCCCCTATCCCCAATCTCCAAAGTTTCAAGTTTCCCTGCAACCTGCCCCAAACCCTGATTAGTGATCAGAAAACCCACCTCAACTGGGGTGGGGTGAGGAGTCTCATGAGGACGGATCAAATTGCCATCTCTTTCAGAAAGTTGATTTCTAATTTTTTGCTCTTTGATTTTTTTTTTCACGTTAAATACTGCTTGACAGCTTTCCGTGCAAGGCCTATCTTTACAATGCCAAGTCAATGCATGAAAGGGCATTTAGAATCTTTGATGATGCAAAGATATTCTAAAAGCTTAAGCTTAGTTAGAAAGAGTACAAATACAAATATGTACAATACAAATTCATACAAAATAATACAAAATATAAGGCTTTGCGCTTTACATATTTGTATTTGTACTTCTTCCAAATGGAGCCTTAGGCTTAGTTTGGTAAGAATACAAATACAAATAAAATATATACGRTGCAAATACATACAAAATAATACAAAATATAAGGTTTTGCACTCTATATATTTGTATTTATACTCCTACCAAATTGAGCCTTAAGAAAATTGCAAAAAATAAGAAGTAGATGACTAAAGTGAAGGAATGAGTGGCCATAGTCTCTCTATAAGTAGAAACCGGTGGCCTTGAGTAACGTCCAATTGCCACAAGTATACAAATTTACCAATATAGTTAGATAATCTCTATATATACATAAATCAGATACACATTTTATCTTTAATAAAATACTAGTGGGGCTCGTGCAATGCACAAGAAAATAACCAACAAAAAGAATTAATCAATCCAAATTAAAACTACAGGGAAAACCTAGAAAACATGATGATGAGATTGGAGTAGAACAGCTATAGTGTAAAGTTAGAGAATGACCCTCCATACTAAGTACATGGCAGCTATATATTCTGACTTTCTTTATTTGGCATCCATTATCAATTTATATTAGATTTTTTTATTTGATTTAAGGGATTTAATAAGCTTTTATTTGTCAATAATTACCCACTTTTTTTTGTATTCACTATTTATATGATATATCTAATTTAATTTTAAATATTAAAATAGATTTGTAATTGATAACCTAAAAGGATTTAAAATTAATGTAGTGGGTTAAGTTGTTTTTTTACTATTTAAACAGATAATAAAATAGCCTTAGATGAGAGGAGTGTTGTCGATCAGAATTAGTCATCACCTTCTTAATATAGAGTGCAAAAATTTGTAATGGGTGTTCTCTATTCGATTAAGATCAATGGAAGATGCTTCTTCTAAGCCATGTGAATGTTGACCGTATTAACTGCTCAAATTGAAATCAGAGTATAGAGATTCATCCAGGAATTTAGGGGGACTTGGCCATATAATAAATGAGGTAAAAAGAGGGCATGATGCACAATTAAGTGACACCAGTCTTGACTTGCCTTTTTTTTTTTTGCAAAAAAAAGGAAAACAAAAAAAGATTGTTCATTGAATTAGCTAAGGTTTTAAATATCGATATAGGCCAATATGTCCGTAGGGTGTATTGATGCTTTTTTTATGTTTTATTTTTTTTTTTTTTTAAACTGATTCAAAGAGATCGGTTTAAGTCTCGGCTACCCTCTAAACCATGGCCTGACCTGATACAACCCCTGTAGGGGCATATTAAAAAGGCCCCGATACGATACGTATCGACCGATATGGGCCGATACGTAATAAAATTTTGATCCTTGGAATTAGCCCACAGAAAACTGTGTATAACCAGAAAATTCAAATCAGTAGATATGAGATTGAATAATTGAATCATGGGGGATTGGAAAAACTTTAAATTCATGAAAAAAGAACACAAATTGAAAAAATAATCTCCATTTTTGATTTCTCATCTAAATGACTATAAGGTCAGAACCCCCCTCCCCCCCCCCAAAAAAAAAAAAATTGTGACTTCCGACAATGATCAATGATCCACCAAAATGAGGAAAATCTGGAAGACGAGAGAGGAATTCCTATCTCCAAAGTTTTATTGGTCAAACCTGGTATAAATGGATGGAATTATCATCTTCTCTCCCTTTTAAATCTAAAAAAAAACTATAAGTTGGTCAAGAGCATTAGCAGAAGCTTCAAACAAAAAATATGGTTGTGTTTGTAACTTGAACATCAAACCCGCCTACAAATTAGCAACTAAAAGTAAGTTATTGCTAATTTTAGCACTTATCCACCTGTTATCTTCTTTTATGGTTTGGTTTTCGGTGAACTACTTATAGGTTTATCATGGATACCTAGTTGAGCCTAGGAGATGACCCCTATAACTCCTCGAGGGTTTCCTAACTGCCTATAAATAGGAGGATTGTGGGAAGTTCATTTTCATTGAATAACAAAGGAAAATGGAGAATCTTAAAAGGGTTATTGTTTTTTATTTAATTATTTCTTTTCTTTCTTTTTCCAACTTTTGTTGTGCAGGAGTGAATAAGAGAGAAGGCTATTGACCTTATATGTTTTGATGATAATAAATTCGTTGGAAGTACTAACAATTTGAACTTAAGTCTGCAATTGTGTCAAGTGATTTTCATTAGTTCAGCTAAAATGTTGTTAAATACTTGAGAAGAATTACAATGATTTGAAATGCAAAGTGGACTTCTCTTTGATGAATTGATTACTATCCAAGAAAGAAGAAAGCTAGAAAGAAGAAGGGAAAGAAGAAAGCATCAAGTTCTAGTGCTTCCAACTTGTGTTTATTTCTTTTAGGACTTGATGTAATTATTTTCAAGAATGCGTACAAAATGGACTTAATTGACTGACCTTGGTTTAATCAAGATGTTAGAGACCAATGGTTAAATAAAAAGCTTTTTCTAGACTTTACTCTGAGCTTAAGTGTGAAAGTTCCAAGTGTAAAGGCATAAAGAGTTGACTCCCATATGTTTGAAGTCGCCTACTTGAAGTTTCTAAGGTGGGACATAGTCATTAGTTAATTATCTATAAGGTAGTAGTCGACTATCCATGATAATCGAGAATGGTGTCATTAAGTAGTCAACTACCTGTGACAATCCAGTTTGGTGTTACACTAACCTTGATCAGTAGTTGGCTATTGGACCAGGGATATTTGACTATGTCTAATAGCTGATAACTTGATATGCTTAGTAGTTGACTACCAAGAGATAGTAATTGACCACTAGAAAGAAAAGATTCTCTCTTGCAATTAGTAATTGACTACCTACTTATGACAGAGTTGAATTTATTAACTACCTAGTCATAGCAGTCGACTACTTCACGAGAAACAAGAAGTTTTTTTACCACTTAAAGATCAACAGCTCTTTCCTCTTCTGATAACCCTTTAATCTTGTTAAAACAAGCTCTGAACATTTCTAAGAGTGGCTTAGTTCCTTCCCAATGAATCTATAATGGTCACAATCTCTTTAAGCATGATTCATGCTAAACACATGAGTTTTAGATAAAAATCTCAAGGAAGTGAACTAAACTGTATTGTAAAAAGGGAAAAGAGAGAAATAGCAGCATAAAACTCGTCAGAATTTTGAGGGCAAATTTCTTACAAAATTCATTAGAATTTCAGGGGTTAATTTATTGTAAAATTCTTTAGGATCTTGGGGGGCCAAAAGCAGCATAAACTTGCGAGATTGCCAATTTGCAACCCACACACCACAGATAGCAAAATTGTGCTCAACATTGATTGCAATCAACCAAAACTGAACAAGGGGATAAGTATTTATAATATATCATATATTATCTAATGCATATATATTTATATATAATATGTAGATAATATGTGACACACACACACACTATATATATATATAGGTTCAAGGTAGAACCTATCCATTTGCTCACCCCTAATCCAAATGAGTTTGGATTTACTACCCACAAGACACTATAGCCATGCATCAAGAGCATATCCCCATGAATGACAAGATATTCCCAATGTGAAGGCATAAAGTATTGTGGGTAAAAATGTTTTAAAAACTAATCCGGAATTGGAACTGCTTTGACCACCGGTTTCTGAATCAATGGTTCAACTATCCAATCTAAACAAATCAGCCCATAACAATTTAAAAAAATAATAAAAAATAAAAACAATTAAAATAAAAAACCATAGTCTATGTCAAACGGCTCAATGGTTTGACCACCCAAATTGACAGGTCACTAACCAATTCACCGATTTTTGAAAAAAAAAAAAAAAAAGTGGTTTGGATGTGAAACAGAATCGGCCTCTTGAACAGTTTAAAGCCAAACAGTCTAACTATTGACTCATCGATGGTTCATAATCCATAGTGGGGTAGGGTTGTAGGTAGCATTGTAGGGCAAATCTGCATGCCCGAACAACTAGGTAAACGACAATAACATGCATGCACTTTAGCAGTAATTGAGTAGTTGAATATATAAGCATTAAGAGGCCATTTAGTTTGTGGGAATAGAGGTCTGAAATCAAATTGGAATGGTCTTAACCGTTTGATTGGGCAGAATTGAAATCTGATTCCAATTCGCATTCCCCCATTTGAAAAAAAGGTCATTCTTTCCCCTCCCTTGGAAATGAGAATCCATTCCGGCCGATTCCAATCTGAACCAAACAGGTGAAGGAAATATACCGTTCCAATTTTGTTGAAAATTTTCGATTTCGATTCCGATTACAAACCGAATGGAACCTAACTTTTCAGTGGTGCATGTTCCTCCGGCACAATAATACTTTGTTTTGTATCAGGATTTTAACTTCTCAAGGCCAGTGTTTAAAGACTCAACCCGTACCGTGACAGTTTTGCCGATTGGATGGGCAGACCAGCAGAGCACCCAGTTAACCGATATAACCAGGCCCCGGGGAGCAATAAAACCCTTCTCCCAGCAATAAATAAACAAAGCCAATTTATACGAGGAAAAGGCAGAGAGTGTCGCATTGCACAAGCCTACACCGGTCAAGACAATTTATACGACAAAGAGCAATAGTTAAAAAAGCCAATCTCAGCTATATAATTTGAAGAACATATTAACGAAATTAACCTGTATAGCCTAATGACCGAAGTCAAGTTTTTACAGTATAATTCGCATATTCCCCAGGGCTAACCTACAAATAAATTCAACAGTTTAAGAACAAGGTCTTGGTTTTGATTTCAGGTGTTTTGTTCAATTTACCTTCTTGTTTGCAGAAGTTGATTTTAACGTTCGGTCAGCAGATACTTCTCAAATGCTTCTGAGTTCAATGAATACGTTGAGTTGCTAGCTTATCTCTGCATTGTCAGCTGCTACTATTAACCTACAATTTAACAACATCCAGTACATTGCCATCACACCATCATCATCCAAGAAACATACCACAAATGATTGACAGACGGAGGCAACGTTTTCCTTTCTCTTGTTTTTTTTCTCCTTTTTTTTTGTTTTTGTTTTTTTTTTTATCAAATCAGTTGTACAAAAACAAAGTACCAAGGTACTTTTATTTCCCATATTAGGTCCGTTGCCTTACCCTCCTGCCATTGGTATCGCCACCATCAGAGAGCTGGGCCCACACACTTCGGCTCTTTCCACCACTGCTACATTCTTCCTCACAACCGGCCACCGTCTTCAAGATCTCAGACTGCAATGCTGGACAATTTTCCTTGAGATACTCGAACCCATCCGACCGCACAACAGCTGCACCAAAGTGGCAATTAGAGCATGAAGAAACAGAGAAACAAGCATAGGGAGAACTAACAACAGAATCAATCTAAACCTTAGGCTCCGTTCTCGGTTCCAGAATTTTCAATTAGTCGGGTAAGTTCCTGAAGAATGAAAAACTTTATAAACATAAGCTGTAGCGATCAACAAATCGTAACTGTAAAACTTGTATGGACTATGGCCAACCAGTAAAAAGTTCATCCAACTTGTAGCTGTTAAAGGCCTAAAAGCCACTTTTGGCTCCATAGTCCATTCCATTTATCTTGGAGAATTATTTTTATTGGAATCTGGCTCAATAAAAACAGCATTTAACCAAATTATGGCAACAAAAGTCGAAGGGCAAGTATAAAGAACAATGTAGTTATCAGGGTAAGAACAAATAATTATGAAATAGGAAAATATGCTAACCACAAATTAAGAATAACATTATTGAAACATAAGAATTCATAAAATCTACTATTAAGAGAAAGGTAGAAACATTATTCACTAGATGCATAACTGAGAAGAAGAAAAAAGTTGCCCAAGAACAAAGAGTGGGGAAATTAGCAAAACTACAAGGCCCTTTTAACAAAATTTGTATTATTTTTTTACAACAAATAAAAAGATCATTTCATTACAATAAAAATCGTGCAATTCATGATTTGAATCGTACAGTTCATATTGAATCAGCCCTAAAACGACTCAAATCACATGTACTAATCATTTTTTAAATTGTGTGATTTGTGATCAAACCGTTATGTTATATCATAAATCATGATTCAAAACCAATTTAAACGATTAGAGCAGGAAAAATAAGACAAAAAGACCATTTAGTCCTCCACTTTTTTAAAAGCTGCACATTTACATTAAGGGGCAGTTTCATCATTTTATTAACTTACAGCCTCTTTAATTGATCAAAAGAGGATTATTATCAAAGGAAATGCTTGGCGGGAGATTGGAAACAGTGTTTTAAAAGAGCAAGGCACAAAAAAGGCACAGAGGCCAATTTGTACCCAAGGCACAAGGCGTAAGGCAAGGCACATGCCTTTTTGAAGCAAGGTACAAAAATACAAAAAAAAGCTAAAAAAGCAAAAACAAATGTTAGAAAATTCAAAAAAATCAAAAAATGCAAAAAAATAAAAAAATAAGTGTTGTATAAATAAAAAATATATATTAAAATTTAAAATAAATGTTTTAAAAAGCTATTATCTCAAAATTAAAATACATAAACATAACATGAAAAGCACATTCAAATGAAAATTAAAAAAAAAATCAAACATATAAAACATTTCCAAGAATGTAAAACCCACAATCTCTTTTTTCCTCAATTACATTACTTCAAGTAGCTAATGTGATGTAAAACATATTACATTGCTGATTCTATGAGCCACCTTTGTGCCACGCCTCTCAAGGCAAGCCCAAAAGTCCATGTTAGGGTCTTAAATTCTTAGTTCTCACACAAAAAATAATGATTTTATAATTTCGGTTGCTTTTCAAGAAGATACTTTATCAGGATAAATGAATGAACAACATTAGCAAATAAGGGGGGTTCTCGGAGCTTCAATGAGTGAGTGAAGCGGAGGGCTGTGCCTAGGACCTAGGCAAGGCGCATACCCTTAAATGTGCCTCGCCTGTGCGCCTAGGCATGCCTCAAGCGTGCCTTTTAAATCACTGATTGGAGAGACAAAACCCTCCTCCATTGAAGCTCCAAACCTCCACTTCTTTTGCATGAAAGCAAGGGCTTCAGCCCATTTTTTTCCCTCTTCGTTTTTCATAAAAAGAGGGGCTCTGCCCTATTGCATTTTCTTCTTTTTATGCATCATTTTTTTTTCTTTTCTTTTTGCATGCAAACAGGGGCTCTACCCTGTTCTATTTTACCCTTTTTTATGCATTTTTTCCTTTTTTGTTTTTGCATGAAAGCAGAGGCTCGGTTCTRATACATTTTCTTCCTTTTCTAGACGTTAAAACAAGGGCTCCTCTCCTTATTTTCTACATAAATATAAGAGGGTGGAAAACAGGGACTCTGCTCTACTGTTTAATGCAAAACAAGAGCTCTACTTCTTAGTTTCAGTCTCTTGACATGAAAACAGGGTCTCCAGTCCATGTTGTGTTTTCATAAGGCTTCTCATTTTATCTGTGCGTCCTATTTTAAATTGCTTTTTCTTGTTAGGCATCCCTTTGTTTATAAATGGTTGGAGGCATGATGGAATAGGGCATCTTTGCATCTGAGCACTTAATATTCTATATTCCTTGTTGATTTGAGAATTACTTTGTTAGCTCCAATATGTAAGCCTTTATTTATGCTGGTTTGGTGGATATGGTTAGGCATATACTTAGGCTAGCTTTGTAATTTAGTATACTTGTCCATATAGCATCTGTTTGGTCGTTTATATCAATGAATGTGTTTATGTATTCATGTATTGATGATATGATGCATGTATTAGGTTGAATCATCATGTTCCTGGATGTGTGTGAGACTCAAATTTAACAATTATATCTCTCTTATTTTTGTATTTTTCATGAATTGCATGCTTGGCTTAAATGATTGAAACTTGAAAGTGAACACAGTACTAATTTGTTAACATTATGGTTCTTTTCTTTAAAAACCTTGGAGATAAGATTGTAGGATAACTAAATATTCAAAAACAGATTAGTAATGTTGTAGAATGTTCTGATAATATTAATATTATATTAAATATTAAATATTAAATATGTGCTTAGTGCTTACATGTTAATATTTCTTTTGGATATCAATTATGTACTTAGTGGTTAATGATACCATTGCATCTATTGAATTATAAACATCAATTGTAGTATGAAAGTAGTGTAATTGCCAGACTCACTACTACTACCTACTTATATTATGTGTATAGATAGAAAATTAGTGCAAAGAAACATTTTTTCAAAGAACGCCTCGCCCAAACGCCAACTATGTTAGGCGCATGCTTAAGGGGCTGAAGCAAATATATACTGTATAAATATTTATTAAATAAAAAATATATAATATATAATATTGTATTGGTTGTTTTAGTTTTTATAATAGAACCTATTGCATGTTATCATGCTTTTGTTTAGAGGAAAGTAAAATCAAAATTAACCTTCGAGGGTTTCACTTTGACAATAGAATTGAACAGAGGAAGAGGAGAGAACAACAGCCCTCCATCGTTCCCACACAGTCCTCTAAAGTCAAGGTGAGTTAATCAGTTTTAGTTTTGTTCTCTGTTTCCTGGTTTAAAAACAGTAGTTACGCCCCATTTTTCTCCTCTTCCTTCTTTATCTTTTCTCCAAGTTTTTGAATCATTTTATTGGACTAAAACAAGGGCTCCGCCCCCTTCTTTTGTTCTTCAATTTCCTGCATGTTTTCAGCTTTTTTTCTCATTATTGGTGTCTGAAACAGGGGCGGAACAGGGGCTCCACCTCATCTTTTATTCTCCATATTCTTCTTTTATTTTAGTATTTTTTCGCCAGATTTTCTGGGTCTAGAACAGGGGCTCCACCCCCTTCTTTTGTTCTTAATTTCTTGGATTTTTTCAGCTTTTTGTTTTGTTCTCATCATTGGTTTCTGAAACAGGGGCTCCGCCCCTTCTTTTCTTCTTTATATTTCTTCTTTTATTTTATTATCTTTTCACCAACTTTTCTGGTCTAGAACTGGGGCTCTGCCCCCTACTTTTCTTTTTCATTTTCTTCTTTTATTTTAGTATTTGTTCCCTATGTATTGTTGATCTAAAGTAGGGGCTCCACCCCCTTCAGTTCTCTCTCTCTCTTTCCCTATGTATTGTTTGCTTCTTTTTCTTTGTCAACTAGTGTCAATTGGAATTTGGGCATGAGAAGTGAATTGAGAGACCATGAAATACATCAAGTCTTATAAATTACCTAAAATTGAATCAAGTCTTATAAATTGTAAGAAAGAGGGAAGTAAAGCAGCAACAAATTTCCAAAAAGAAAAGGGGAAGGTTAATGTGGAAGTGCACAAGGACTGCAGTGGTATGGACCATGTGGGAGGAAAAGAATGCAAGAAATTTTTAAGATATGGACCTTGTGGAAGTGCTTTCTGTAGCAAGTTTTCCTTGAAAGAATTAATACTTGTGATTTACTCCAAAGGAAGAGATCCAATTGGTGCCTATCTCCTTATCAGTGTCCTATGTAAAGCCAATGGTGAAACTTGCTCTCACTTGTTAATCTCACATCCTTTTGTTATATGTATTTGGGAATGGTTCTTTTCATTGTTTGAGTGTAGGTGGAATCCCCCAACTGATGTGTAAAGCATGTTTGTCTACTTTCTTTTACTGGCCAAAGAAAAGGGGTAAAATTATGTGGAAATGTACGAGGCTACTATTTGCTGGGTCATTCGAGTGTAAAGAATGCAAGAATTTCTTGGGATGGCATCCTTGGTTGAAGTCCTTCGAAATTTTCTCCATTGTTCCATGGATGGCATCCTTTTCAGATGGAAGGAAGTAGCTGATTCTGTTTTATTCAAGGATATTGTCCCACTTGGTATCCATCGGAAAGAGGGTTCCTTGAGCTTATCTTTGATGGAAGTAGCTTGGGCAACCCTGGCTTGTCTGGAATATGAGTATTTAGAGATCAAGAGAGCAAAGTTTTGGCTTTATATTCTGGATCAATAGGTGTAGGAGATTCACTAGGAGCAGAGATTATGGCTTTGCTTGAAGAAGTGCAAAGGGAAAAATGTGTGAACATTCAAAAACTAATCATAGAAGGAAACTCCAAGTTGGTTGTAGGGTGGATACATAGTAAAGAGGCAAATATTTGGACTTTTAATAATGATAGGAAGAAATTCAAATGGCCGAAACAAAACATGGAAATGAGGGTACAATGGATCAAAAGAGATGCAAATTCCTTTGCCAATGCTCTTGCAAAAGAGGAGGAAAAAAAACTAATGTTATGCATCTTTATTCTTCTCAATATAAAAGGTTTTTATTAAAAATAAAGAAAAAAATGAGATCCCCGCCTCCTCTTCATCCTCCTCCTAGCCCCCT